TCAACTCCCAGAATTCCCCAGCCAGCATGGCTGGCTGGGGAATTCTGGGAGTTGAAGTCCACACATCTTAGAGCTGCCAAGGTTGAGAAACACTGGTATAGATTAAACTACACTCCTGGGGGAAGACACCATGTTGCCTCTGTACCCGTGCGTGTATTTTTGGGGAGCCCCTGGAATATGGTTCCTGTTATCCACCTAGTTCAAAGCTAAGCAACTTTTCTCCAATGAGAAGAAACACTTTCTCCTTTTTTTTTCCCCCCCCCGGGTCTTAGAGGTTGCAAACTCATGGTGCTGTCACCTGTATTGAAATCTGTACCCCTTTGGGATACTTTTGCATCGACTGGACCTCGCAAGCCTAGCAGAAGCCGAAGGCAGCGGTTTGACTCCGCAGCGTCTCGTTTTGAGAAATGAAAAAAATGCCGTGTCCCAGAATACTGCTTGGCTGCTGAATTTGGGGGGTGGGATGGCAAGGAGGGGCCCCAGAACTGAGGTTGGGATTGACCTCGTCCCAATGCTGGGATTGTTCAGGTTTTAGCCCCGAGCGATGGGTTTCACCGGCAATTCACTTAGAAGCTTGGCATTTGCAGACAAATACGTTGTCCAATGCATGTGGCCAACGGGTCGTTCTGATGGTGGGAGAAAGCTCGACCCCACCGGGCACCCTCTTGATCTGCCCCCTTATAAACCCCCCATTTGGAAAGATGCCCTGAACCTCACCATGGGAGACCGTCCGTACCCGCCGGGGCCTGTCGAAAGATGAATGCTGACGTATGGGCTCGGTGCAGCCAATTCGCCGTTGAGGGCGGCGTGAGGGATCACCCCAAAGGAGGAAGCAAAGGAGTTTGGGAAAGAGTTGAGTGAGCTCCGCAAAGCTGAGTTAGGGAAGAAGGAAGAGAGAGAAGAAAAAGAGATTTGTTCCCTTCATCCAATGGAATACTTTTAAGCAACGCCGGAGCTCGCCAGGGCCACCCTTGGGAAGGTCGGGAGTTCTGCAAAAGCCAAAACGGTTGCACATCGACTCACGTCAAGGACCAACCCACCGATGCCTGGAAGCAGGAAGCATTCCTGGGGAGGGCACGCTATGGCAGACCATCCCCTGCCCCCAAATTTGCCCCGCTCAGGGCATAGCAAATGCTCAGAGGATCTTGGCAAGCAGCAATGTTGATGTAGAGCAGTGTTTCTCAACCTTGGCAACTTTAAGATGCGTGGACTTCAACTCCCAGAATCCCCCAGAAAGGCGGGCTGGGGAATTCTGGGAGTTGAAG